TTATGGATAAAAGAAAATATAAATCACAAATATGCACTAAAATACAATAACTTCACTTTAAATAATATAAATTTATGTCTTTTAAAATGATAAATATTTTTTCATTAATATTAGATAAAATAAAATATTATCATTATTACTTTAGCGTAGATAGATAATAACTAAATTGTTAATTCTATAGTTAATTAGGAATATAAGGAAAAGAAAGTCCAATTCAGATATTTTATCAATAAAGAAGACTCACGAATCATGCTGTATGTTCAAGTGTGAAAAATATACCATCTTAAAAAAATAGTATATATTATGAGAATAATACTCCTAGCTAATTAAAACCTTACATGTAACAAGTTCATTAATAAAAATAAAAAAAAAAACCCATGACCGTTGGTTTATTTTGCTGAAATTATCTACGAATCTACGCCTAATCTGAGTGTCATTCCCGTGGTTATTTACTTACCACTAAGTAAGGACAACGTGAAAGAAAAATATCTATGTCATGTCATGCTATTTTATTATTGTAACCAGGGACTTATGCTGTGTTGGATCTGGCATGGAAACACTCAAATACCTTGTTTGAAAATCTTGCCTCAAACGAGTTAGAAAATTGAAACCAAAGTATGGGGCCAAACTTGATTTAGTCTAGTCCCTTAACCGGGTAAATAACATTTTGTTACTTTTGTAGTGAGTAAAATTAAGGTTGTATGCGGATTTACAATTAATTTTAACATTAATTTATTTTTAATCTAACCTAAAAAATAAAGTCATATCTTTTTTTATAATTATACATCTAAAAATGATTCTACTTACATTATTTAAACAATATTTATTAGGTTAACATCAATTTATTTAAACCCGAATAATACTGATTAATTAGACCCACTTTTAATCATAAATTAATTTTTATAAAATCAAGTACATGAATTTTAACTCAAACAAATAATTATTTGTATGGACCATATCTCTTTCGCTTTGGTAATATTCCAACCTCAAAGGTTTATTCCATTTTATCATGATGTACCAACCACGTGTCAATAAATCCCCTTTCCACCACCTATGATGCTATCGATGTAATTTAATCACCAGAATGGACATTAAGCATTAAGCAATGAAAGTAACACAAGTAGGTAACACAAGTAGGATGTTAACGGGCTGAGATGGATTGGATTTGATTTTAAAAGTTGAATTTATGTTTAAATGTGTCACTGTATTTTATTCTGTTATTTATTATAAATATAATGGAAAAAATGTGTATAATTTTAAAGAATATAAAACTGTAAAGGCTGTGTGGTGAGCTCCAAGAGTCATTCTTGCTCTGTTTTGAGCTTTGGTAAGTGCCACCAACATTGATCATGTGTTTTGATGAGTAAAAGAGGTGTCTTGGCATGTTTAATGAATTAAACAAGTAACCAACTGTCATATGAACATAAATGAACCTTAAGAGGCATGTTTAAGCTTCTGGAAGTGTTAAAAATGGAACCTTGGAGGGATATCTTCGCGAAATGCAGAAACTGCATTCTGTCGCGAAATATCCGGATATTTGACGTGGAATATCCGGATATTGATATCCGGATATGGGAATCTGGATATCCGGATATTGATATCCGGACATTTCCAAAGTGATATCCGGATATTGGATATCCGGATATTGCCTGTGAGATATCCAGATATTGCATATCCAGATATGTCCCCGAGGAATATCCGGATATTCTGAGTTTGCAAGGAACAGTAGCGTATTGTTCATCCAGAACTGATCTATGGATTTGTGGACCCTAGTTTGAGGAAGTTGAACTTCTGTAATTAATTTATGTAGGTCAGAATCAAATGATTAAGGGCTTATGGCTTGGTGAAAGGAGAGAGAGTTGACAAAAAAAATAAAAGTGTAAGTCTCACCTCTTTGTGAAAGTAAAATAACACAAGTTATGTCATTTAAAAGGATAAACACTTTTTTCAAATATAATTATTGATGTATGATTTAATTTATTTACAAAAAATAAAAGTTAAAAATTTGGTTTAGCCTGTTAAAAAAAAGAAGATACTAAAAATTTATATAAACAGAATATACGATCAACAACATTAATAATTGCACAAAAACTAATAAATTCAAGGTATATTCATACAATATAATATAAAATAAAATTATTCAAAAAGTCCGTTTAACCATTAAAATATGATAAGAGATGGGTTAAGAAGAGAAATGATTATTATGAGTAGTATAAAAATTACAAAATAAAAATAAAAATTAGTATACTAGATCAGCCTGAGAAGTTTTAAAGTCAAACTTTTAAATTGGAGTCCCAGACTTTCTTTTTTATTAAATAAACTTTTATATAAATCAAATCTAATTTTAACATCTAATTTTAAACATATAACCTCAAACCTACATAAATAAAGATAATAAATTCTTACCGAGATAACTAAAAGTTCCAACCAATAAGAACCGAATAACCTACAAAAATAGAATAAAGGACTAGCAAAAATTGCTTATTTTTCGAACCCCTTTATAAATTCTATCCTATCTAGGGGTGTTCATAAACCGATCCAAACCGATTCAAACCGCAAAAACCGAACCGAAAAACCAAAAACCGAAATAACCGAAAAATCGAAAATCGAAAAAAACCGCAAATATTTACTGGATTGGATCGGTTTTCGGTTTGGATGTTGAAAACCGATCCAATCCAAACCGATCCAAACTTATTTTCTACCAAATTTTTTTTTTGTTAATGTAGTATTCATGCCAATGATCTATGTATGGGTAAGAAGAATTTAGTTTTATGTTTTAAGTTTACTATGTTATGGAATTTCTGGATTACTTTCGTTAATCTAGTATACATGGTTAAGTTTTTTGTAGAAGCTGTGTTTTGGCCAGTATTCATAGTGGCCACTTTTGCATCCATTATAATTTATAAGTAGTAAAACAGTGATTTCTGTAAAAGAATTCATTACTTTTTTTATTAGAACATCGATCAGTAATTTTTTTTATTAGTGATTTTGGAAGACTTATTACTACGGTATTGTCAAAATTTTCTGCTACTACCAATACAAAGGATCCATGACAAATAATACTACTCATTTTTCTAAAAATAATTCTTATAAGTTCTATTTTTTTGGTTTTTCAAAAAACCGAAAACCGATCCAATCCAAACCGAAAAAAATTGGATTGGATTGGATCGGATTTGAAAAAAAATTCAAACCGATCGGATGATGTAATAACCAAACCGAAGAAATTGGATCGGATGATTTTTCGCTTCAAAACCGATCCAATCCAGACCGCGAACACCCCTATCCATATACGTTCTGATCGTCAACTAGTTCTACTTTATTGGAACAGGGGTTCGGACCAAAAACCTTGAAAGGCGCTTATTCATTTACCACCCCTAAACACAGCTATATGTTTTCTTTGGGTGAATGTTTTGTTTTGTATTTTTTTTAGTATAAATTCAAAGTATTTAGTGTTTGTCATTTTAAATAACACAACTTTATGTCATTTTTAATGAAATTACGTCGTTTTGGTGTGTTTTATCATTTTCTCTAACTTATAAAATTAGAAATAAAAAGAAAATGGAGGAGAGAGAATGTAAAAAACGTAGTTTCATTGAAAATAACATAATTTTGTGTCATTTAAAATGACAAATATTTTCCCAAATTTCAAAAGAGTAAAATGTAACCCATCTATTTTAGGGAAAAAGAAGTATTTTTTGAATGACACAAGCTGGTGTCATTTTAAGTGTTTTACACAAAGTATGATCGTACTTTGTGTAAAACTGAAAAGTTATATTTTTTTTTCTCTCCTCAGTCACATCATCGCTGACGTGTAAAGTAAAAAAAAAAAAAAATCAGAATTACATATAGTACGACCGATCGTACTCTGTGTAAATCATTAGGAGGACACAACTTTTTGAATGACACACAGTGAGCCATCTATTTTAATACAAGCCCGTTGTAATTCCTCAAGTCGAGCAAGAAGTTCTTGTCAAGTACAGTTTCAAAGAATCAATAAAATCTCTTAAAAAAAAATCAATACAACTCAATTAAAAGTTTAGGCGAAACACTTTGTTCAGTGGTAAAAAATTTATGTTCTAAGTCACAATAAATTAGTCTCATCTAAATGGCCGGGATATCCTTGGGGGAAAAAAGTGATCAAATTGAAACAACAAACTCACGAAAGTATTGAACTTTGTCCACTAGGCTGAAACTTCTGAACTTCATCAATTATGTTATGCAACTTTTGAACTTCATTATTTATGTTAATGTTATGCAATCCGAAGAAAAATCAGAAAGAAACGGAGACATAATAAGGTCATAACCAGGCACATTGAGAGCAACAGAGACAGAAGCTGCTATTAGGATTAGCTGAAGCATAACCAAAACAGACACCAATGTCTTCTTTACAACTTCCTCTGCCATAGCTGAAATATCGCTTCTGACTTTTTTACTAATCTGTATTTCCTCTTTCTTGTCAGTTGTCACATTATAATCCTCGAGCCATTATCAGGGCACGACTAGGTTGACATAACACACCACCGACCCTAATAAGTCTATCTAATTACAATATTATGTTTAACAAAATAGTATCTCAAGAGAAGTTGTACCTTATATTTATTGAAATTATTGCAAAGTTTCTTCTGTAATTTCAACATCTCCAAAATAATAAACACCTACATCAATATATTTCAACTCACCAGTAGCAACATCAAACAAAATATAGGTTCAAGTATTAAAATAAAAATCCAAAATTATTTTCAAAACTAATCTCTTAAAGCTATAGAATATTAATTAAAGTCCCAAAGTAAATAAGAAAGGTCACATTTTATTGGTATCTAAATTATATGAAAGCATATCAGTCTCTAAATTATATTGGTAAAATTTGCATTACATGATAACAGTCGTGCACATATGAAATACGAAATAAGGATGTTTGAGAGATATAAATTTACATAATAGAATCAAAGGCACACCGATTAAACCTCCAATAACAATATTCATGTGTACTTATGCTTATTTTTATCATCAACATTTTTTATGTTTGAAATCTTGAAAGAAAACATGCAACTCCTGCAGCAGCATCAGACACTATTAAGTGAATTTGATGTAGTGGAAAATTCTGTTGTTGATCTTGGAGGAGAACACAGAACAGGTTTTGGTGGCATTTCCAGGGAATCCATGCTACCTTCCAACATGTCAATCACTCTACTTATTGTGGGTCTGTGAGAAGGAATTGTCTGAATGCACCACAAACCCACCATAGTCATTCTCTTAGCTATCTCATTTTCATCTGTGGACATTATCCCATCAAGTCCTAATTCATTTCCCAGCTCAAGCTTCTTATAAATAACCAAATGAGGAAAATATATCTCGCTCGAGCGACTGGCTTCAACATTAATGTTCTTCTGTCCTCCAACCATTTCTAGCAGCATCATTCCATAGCTATAAACATCAGATTTATGTGAAACACCACCAAAACTTTTATTCCACACTTCGGGAGCTACATACCCAACTGTCCCTCTAGCATTTGACATTGAAACAATGCTATTATCCCTTGTGCTGAGCTTAGCAAGCCCGAAATCTGATATCTTTGGGCTATAAGTTTCATCCAGAAGGATATTATGTGGTTTAATGTCAAAATGCAAAATCCTAGTGTTGCATCCTTTATGCAAGTACTCAAGTCCTCGAGCTATCCCTATTGCAATCTGGTACAAGTTATCCCAACTCAAGGATGGAGTAGTTTCAGTTGCCTTGTTGTGAATGTACTTTTCAAGGGAACCTTTGGACATGAATTCATAGACAAGAGCTTTTCTGTTTCCTTCAAGACAAAATCCAAGAAGAGTGACAACATTAACATGGGATGTTTTACCTATGCTGGCAACCTCATTGATGAATTCTTCGCCATTCCCTTTGGACTCGTTTAGTAACTTTACAGCCACAAAGCTACCATCGAGTAATTTTCCTTTGTATACAGAACCATAACCACCTTCTCCCAGTTTAACTTTGAAGGAGTCGGTTATTTTCTTTACATCAGAGAAACTATATCTTTTTAAACTCAGAGGACCTTGACTTGCAAGGAAGGCTTCTATGTCTCGATCATTTCTTTTTATCTTCCCAAACTGTGTTAATATAATCTTCCACAGCATGGCTTTATTACGGCATATGATGACAGCAATAAGAGGTAGTCCAATTCCAGTAGCTACGAAACCTGTCAGTAGAATTGAGGGTCATTCGTGCGCAACATAAATTTTTTTTTTTTTTGGTAATATACTAAGATTTGAACTATGAACTCAGGTAAAGTATTCAAACTCGTGCCTATTAGACCAATCCCAATGGCTTAGTTTAATTGAACCAATATAACAAAATTCTTTTGAAGATTAATATGATGTACATAATATTTAAAAAACATTTTTTGGTAACTAAAATCTTTAGTAAACTAATATAGTGAAATTCTAACTTTTCATCACAACCATTTATTGATGATAAGATAAGAAAGAGAAAAATGTATAATTTTTAAATGAGTGGTTATGATCAAATAAAATGACCACATGACCACTTTTTCACATGAGAGGATCCACTCCCATCTTGGATACCATCTATCCCATTATCCTATACTTTGGCATTACAAATTCAAGATTGTCTTATTTATATGATAATTATATGGGCTTTAATTTTCATCAGTTGTGGTAGAACAAAGGAGCCTGTCACTTTCACAAAATAAGGAGTGGTTTCACTAAAAAGGGAGTGGATCCCATACCAAAGGAGTTCATTTTAAATTTATATTATGTCTTACCGATAAGATATAGTATGTGGCAGAAAAATATTTCTGCACAATTGCAGAAATATTTTTCTATAATTATATATTAGGTTTTATCTTTTTCATCTAACAGGAAAAGCACTGTTGGTTCTTACAGAGAGAAGGTTTGATGTGGGGCCTATTGATATTGTTTTCTCTCTTCTTATATTTGTTTCTCTTTCCCAACTCTTCTCTCTAGAGAAATAAATAGTATTTTTGTTTGTAAAATGAGAAAGATAAAATCCTCGGATTTGGATCCTCTCATATGAAAAAATAGTCACGTGGTCATATTATTTGATCAAACCACTTATTGATGATGATATAAGAAAGATAAAAGTGTATGATTTTTAAATAGATAGTTGTGATCAAATAACATAATCATTTGATCCAAATTCAAAACCCTTATATATAAGTTACAAGAATATAAACAGATAAACAACTTGGATGTTAAATTTCACGGGCATGTATTAGATTTTTATTTTGTTGGTAAGATATCAGATACAGAAGCAAATTGGCTTATATTCGTCCAAAAAAAAAAAAAAACATGCGTTTAAAATTAAACTAATATGTTTGAGAAAAATATATATACCTAAAACCAGCTTCAACACTCTGTTCATCGTTCGACCTGCCACGAAAAGAAAAACAAAAAAAGAAGTGTTTAGAATTTTAGATTTTAGATTGTCCAAAGATGATTGTCACGCGGATAAACGTTCACTTTTTAAATCATTTTTTTTATATATGTGAATTGATTCTTTCATCAATTCACATATACATGGCCAAATTAATTCTTTTCAATTACTTTCTATATGCAACTGTGTCCAAATTAACTACTAGAAATTAGCAAAAGGAGTGACCGGGATAAGTGACTTGCATTATCATCGGAAAGAATAATATACTTTTTTTTTTTAATCAAAAAAGACAATTATAACTTTTATGTTTTAAAATGTTTAATCCTAAAAACTTACAACAAAATGGCTTACTATAAGATAGTTAAAAGTCCATGTTTCAAATATAATTCTGTGATTGAATCTTGAACGCAATCTGATATCTATCCAAGCCCCACCGTCATGTGGCCTGCCATTAAATTACGCATGAAGGCAATGACAAGTCAACCATGTGTAAAACAATCAGAACTTTTTCACCAAAAAAAAAAAAACAATCAGAACTTTTTGCGTGCCAATTAGTTATATTATGTGTTCTTTGTGTCAATGTCCACTTTTCTATGACCTGTTTTTTCAATTGTATTTAGACATTGGACTTAATGTTTTCATTAATTAAAAAGAAAGAAACTTAATGGTTATTATTATTATTATTATTAATCGTGTTATTATTATTATTATTATTATTAATCGTGTACACCGATGTTGATGTTAACCCATGCATGTGCTGCTACACAGGGTATACTTTTTTCGGAAGAAATAATGGGATAGTTAGCTGGAACGTCTCAGCTGCAGCATCTAAGTCAAAAAAAGGAACTACAAGTTGATGATGTGTGCTATAATTTAATGCATTTTAAGTAACTATATTTGCAATGGAGATCCTGTATCATACGTGTCTCGTCTCATGACACGCATGGCACATTAATTTATTTCCTATCCGCTAGACACTACCTAGGAAGTCAATATTAACAGGAGAAAATTAGTAAATTATTATGAAACTACTTCAAGTATGATTAGATACATTTTCTTTTAAATTTCAATGTTATAGTTTACAAAATACATCACAGTGGCCTGAACCAGAAGAATTTGCAATCACTAGGACAGTTTTGATGTGCAACGTCGAATTCTTTTATATACAGGCAGTGATGGTAGTCTTTTGGGATTAAATGGTGAAAGGAAAGAACAATTAGGTTTTTTGAGGAGTGCTTCAAATGAATAAAGTGATACCAGGAGAACCTCGTCCCAAAATCTAACTCAAGAGGTAGGAGAATCCAAAATCCATATTAACTTCACATTAGTCACCCATATATTAACCAATGTGGAACTCAAGTCTCATACCATGCAATTAGATCATAACATTCCACCATGTTCCGTAATCCCGGTGTCCACGCGATCTGGCTTTGTACTAGTCTTTTATTAGCTCTGGACAAACACTACAATGCCAGCATCACCATTTGTGCTGCTCGATTACAACTGGGAGACATATATAGTGGAAGGTTCTGATGTCAATTGATAAAATGTTACCATCTAATTGCAAAGTATGAGGTTTGAATCCCACATTGAATATATGAGTGACTAATGTGGGATTAATATAGACTTTGGGCTCTCCTACCTCTTGAGCTAACTTTTGGGGTGAGGTTCTCCTGTAGGTTCTTATCATAGAGCTGATGGATTTAACTTTCTTTTTGTCACTTTTGAACTGATTTGCTGAACTCCCAGTACATCCTACAAATTTTCTATCTTCAAATCCATTCAACATATATACCATATCCAAAGGCTAGTTCAAAAGTCTTTGTGCTAAAGAATTGCTGAGATATGTTAGAGTTGGACTTGTTTTCTATCATTTCTTTAACGCATAACTTTCATATGTTTGAGGTGAAATAAAATCATATTGAGTTTTTCATTACTTGCCACAGTCAAATTAACTAGGCAGGCATGAAGACAGGAAGAGGAGACAAAGGATCTCCTTCCCAAACGCTGATTGTTTCTCTTATATTTCATCAAAAGTAGAATGAACTAAACATGTATATAAGACCAAAAACACAAGACATTTATAATCAGGTAAAGCTATTTAAGAAAATGGATAAGAGAACAGAGAAGAGAGTACAAACTTTTGTGAGAAGGACACGCTGAACCATGAGTTCCACCCAAGCAATAACATGAAAACTGAGTCGAATCATTCTCATTCGTTCCACATGCTCCTCCAGATTCCTTGCATGCTGTGCACTGAGAAGACCACTTTGCATCATACTGCACATCAAACCCTTGATCAAGCGCTTTCTTCAACGCACCAACTCCACCCTCAGAGTCCCAAACAACACTCCGTGAAACTTGCACTCGAACACTAACCCCACAGTTCAGAAGGCCTGGGAACTGCTGAAGCTGAGTTCCATTGACCACATAAAAAGCATGTTTATTGCTATCATTCTGGCACGTAAAAGTGTTCCCCACAATTGAATTCTCAGAAGGGCATTCGTAGAATATAGTGACATTCTGAACAGTTGGGAGAAAACTAAAGGGACTGGCACTCAGAGAAGTGTTGGTAAAATTGGAAGAACAGCTATCATAGACAAGGTCTGTTCGCACCATTCTCATGGTACTAGCCGTTTGGTTAATATTTAGTACATTGAATTTTTGTGAGCCAACTTGAACTGAAGTGGTTTGGTTATCCATGCACGTGAGCTTGAACCCATCGCTGCCACAAAAATGGGGTCGGTTCCCTCCCCAGAAAGGATAGGATAAGTCTGTGAGAGTTCCACAACTGAATGATTGGCTGCAAATAGAGTAGGAGTCATTTTTTTGAGAGTAGGATTGTGGCAAAGTTGTTAAGAAGAAAACAATGGTGAGTATGTATGAGAGGAAGGGGAAATGGGTAACCATCATTGCGTAGGTGGATGAAAAGGTTAGGGTGATCTTAACGTTGAATCCTTGCATAATGTTGTTCGAAACTTGATATGGATATTATAGTGTGTGAGAGCTTTCTTGGTTCTCTGAGGAAGGGGAAAACAACAAAATAAAGCATCCAGAACTTTGAACCATTCTATGTTGTATATTATTAGCGTGTTATTGAAAAATTGGTGCAATCGCAGTATAATATTGAAATGAAATGAGGATGACTGCTAAAGAAGCTTCAGTGCAAAACAGAAGAAACTGTTGACTTGTAGAATGGATATGTCCCACAAACTTGGAAAATTAAAGGCGAGCACGGGGAAACTGCTAAATAAAGGGAAGGAATTCACATTTGGCACCATATATCTTTCCATTCAAGCATCAAAGTAACGGACAAGCATCAAAGTACTAATCAGTTTATACATTGGACTATTTCAAAGTAACGTGCTGGACTATTTTTTTTGTAGATGTAGGTCCATCAAATAGACCTTGCCAACAACATATGTAATGTTATGTGACGAACGGGAGGGAGATATATAAAATATATAAAAAAAAAAAAAAAAATCACTTTAACTATGAAAGAAGACAATAAAGTGAAGCTAGGTGGTAAGCTTTTTATTATAGGTGAAAATATGGGTTAAGCCCCGCCTATCAAAATGAAATAGATTGGGTTGAGGTTTCTCAACCTTCTTCAATATGTCTGTTTAAAAGCGGGTCAAAATGAGTTTAACCCGCAGTAGGACGAATTGACCCACAGAGTCATAATTTTTTTTTTTTTTACAAATAAATAATATTTTATTTGTCACTAAATTTTTGTAATATTCAACAAAAAATTATCTTAGTACTTCCTAGAAAAAATAAAGAATAAGAACTTTATTTATGACAAATATTATTTGTATGTGGAGATAAATGAATTCTTAAAAAATATTTAATTGAATATTAGTATATATTAAAATTGAGATTGAAAAAATTAAAAGGCGTGTGAAATAAAATTATAAAATTCATAAAATATAATTTATTTTTGATTTTTAATTATTATTTTTTTAATTTGTGGGTTGGGACACCATAAAACAAAATGAGTTCATTTTTTCAACTTATATTGTCACCTCTACTCTTTACTTTGAAAATAGAACTAGCATGATATTTGCGAGGAGAACCACTAAAAATTTCAACAAAAAACAAAAAGCTAGTTGACTTCAAAAGCTGAAACTGAAATTTCTCCTAGTAAAAGACGATCTGCAACTATAATTGAAAAGGAGAGCATCCACACCAACCAATAATATGAAATGTATTCACATTTTGTATGATATATTACAATGGTAGGAGGTTGCTATTCAGCATTCAAATTTTATCAAGAAATTGGAAGTTTGTTCTTAACTTGTATAAGGTCTATACAGAAAAAAAAAAGATTTTAGCGTTGATTATTACTATGATTAAAGATGAAAGTTTTTTACATATCTCATACTCAAATGTTATATAAAAAAAGTTTTGAAAAAAAAAAAAATAAGATGTCCGTTTACCAAGTATCATTTTATTTTTAAAAATCCTATAGTTTTTAAGGAGTAATTATAATTGTGGTAAAACTCTCAACCGTCCAATATAGTAATTATTTCATCTCTGGTTAGTATTTAGTATACCTTTTTCAAAATCATAACGGAATGCAAAATATATCAATAGAATTTTAGAGAAAGAGAATCATTAATATTATTTGTCACTAGCATTTCAAATAATGGAAAAATTATAGAAAAATTTATCAAAAGTTCTACTAATCAGAGATTGAAAATCAATCACAGCTACTAGTGGTGCAAGGTTCCACTTGGGTTGTTGTAGGAGAAAACATGAACGGCTTTGGTGGAATTTGCAACTGTTCTAAGCTTCCTTCTAACATTTCAATCACCCTACTCATTGGAGGCCTGTCAGATGGGATTGTCTGTATGCACCACAATCCTACTAAAATCATTTTCTTACAAATTTCATTTTCCTCTATGGTCATGCCACCATGCCATGTTAAATTGCTACCAACCTCAACATGCTTATATATCCAATGAGGAAAATATGTGTCACTGGAATTACATGCTTCAGTACTGATGTTTTGCCTTCCCCCTACCATTTCCAAAATCATCATTCCATAACTATAGACATCAGACTTATGTGACACTCCTCCAAAGTTTCTGTTCCATATTTCGGGAGCTATATACCCAATTGTCCCTCTAGCATCAAGCATAGAGATGATACTATGTGTTTTTGAGCAGAGCTTAGCCAGCCCAAAATCTGAGATTTTGGGGCACAAGTTTTCATCTAAAAGGATGTTGGTTGGTTTTATGTCAAAATGTAATATCCGAGTGTTGCAACCCCTATGCAAGTACTCTAGTCCTTTAGCTATCCCTTCTGCAATCTGGTGTAATCTTTCCCAACTCAAAGGTGGATTGGTTTCAAAATCTTTGTGTATAAACTTTTCAAGTGATCCATTGGGCATAAATTCATATATGAGAGCTTTCTTTTGGCCTTCAAGACAAAAACCAAGGAGATTAACAATATTAACATGGGATGTTCTGCTGATGCTCGCAACCTCATTGATAAATTCTTCCCCATTCCCTTTGGAAGCATTCAGTACCTTCACAGCCACAGGACAATTATTGTTTAGATTTCCTTTATATACTTGGCCATAACCACCTTGTCCCAGTTTGGAATCAAAAGAATTGGTCATTTTCTTGATCTCTGAATACGAATATCTTTTTATGGCTGGAGGTCCATTATCTCTGATAAAGGCCTCAATATCTAGATCAATCTTCTTGGTCTTCCAAATTTTTGACACAACTGGTGATAATTTACGTCTAAAACTGCAAAGTATGATGCATATCATTAGTGCTCCAATTCCTCCAGCTATTAAACCTGTAAGCAAAAATATAAGGTGATTTGTTTCATGCAGCCCCTTTCAGTTCTTTAATATAATAGGGATATACTTTGACATGAAGGCTCTGCAATTTGGATACATTCATAATCAGAAGATTAAAATATTGTTAGGAATAGTAGTTGTCGAATTAATGAGGTTTACGCTTTTGTTTTGATTTAAATTCTGAGATAATGATAATAAACCACCCAAAGAATTTGCTTTTACATATAAACTAGTAACTAGAGTCTAGAAATGAGCCATCTTATAAAAAATTAAAAAACGTACGCTCTGTGTGTGTAGTATATTATGAATTCCTTCTCTTAGTTCCTCTCATTTTTACTCCCTTTGAGTACAGCTAAAAATATTGCAAATTTGCAACAGCAAGGCAGAGAAAAAGTTCCATATGGTTTGAGAAACTAGTTGAAGAGAAACCTTAGAGATAATACCAGTTAAAGATTTGAGAACCTGAATGACCTTCTGCAAAAATGTGAAACGTTTTATCTCATAGAATGACATTTTGTAACTATGGAGGTTGCATTTCATCTCATCTTGTGAATTCCTAGTTTATTTTTCTCGTGGCTTTTTTTTATTTTATAGTGTTCTACGAATAATCCAAGATTTTGGTATGAAAGAAGAAAATGACAAGAAATCTAATTCAAGACATAAATTTTACCTATATTTAGTCTTGAGAAACGGGTGCTGCTTCCCCCTGCCATTAAAACAGAGAATCAATTGATAAAACACAAAACCTGTGACAAAGGTAGAATGACTTCCCATGTCTGATTCATAAAGTATCAAGAAGATTGGGTACTTTTGAGATATATAGTCCCACATTGTTTGTATGAGCAACTAATGTGGCCTTTATAAGGCCTTGAGCTAGTTTTTTGGGTGGTGTAGCCTAAGGTTCTTTACATGGTATCAAAACCTCATGTCCCGGGTTCAAATCTCGCCGCCCTCCACTTTCTTTCAAGTGGAATTTTTTTGTTCACACAGGTAGATGGGCCTGTACATTGTCCACTCTTCAGTGGGCTCTCGTGTGAAGGGACGTGTTGAGATATATTGTCTCGCATTGGTTCTATGAGCAACTAAAGGCCTTGGGCACTCTCACCCTTTGAGCTAGCTTTTGGGTGGTGTATCTCAAGGTTCTTGTCACGTACTTTGATTAAAGATAAGCACACATGTCATGAACTTAAGCCATATGCTTGGCAAGCAGATGTAAATGTGTAGAGGACAACTATGTTTGAGAGATATAATATAAAAGTATCGATGATCCATTACTTCACAACTTAAGGCTTTGGGATGAAATGGTTGCTTATAGAGACTATCCTATAAATATCAAGTTTCCCATTTATCATTTCTAATACTATAATATATTATTGTGGCCTAAATTTTTAAACTTACAAGCATAAGAAAATATGTGATCCCCACAATTTAATTTTAACCCCTTATTGTGTTGAGTTGACTACACCTTAACAATACCTTCACATTTATTGCTTCTTGTACTGCCATCTTTGCAAAAGCACAGCAACTCCTTCCTGGTGTTACTGTATCCACAAAGTCCATCACTGGCCTCGCACTCAGCACAATTTGAAGCTGTTTGCCAATCAAGCACGAACCCTTCATTCATGGCCCCAGCAAACTCATTCATCAAGCCATCACTTGTAATCTGATCCTTCATCACTGTCACCACAACGTTTTCCTGACAATTCTCAGACCAGTCAAAACCTTTAGTCTCATTCCTCATGCCAAACACAAAAGACTCGTTTGCCCCGGAACTCAGACACTTTATAGAAGGTACATAAGAAGGGTAATGACTGCAGTTATAGTAAAAGCTAAGGTTTAAGTTCAAAGGTGAGTGAGAAAGTGGTAGGTTGCCCAAGGGAACATTGTGAAGTGCCCTTGGACAAGTTTGGTTTACAGTATCAACATCAATGAGCTTAAGACTATGTTTTTCATAGTCTATATCTTCTACGTAGTAGTATAATCCGGGTGGTGGAGAGAAAATGGGGTTACCATGGTCAGAGCAAATAAGGCCAAGTTCTTGGTAACCACAATATTGATCAGGAGGGGAACCTTGGGCTAGCCAAAAAGGGTAACTGATGTTAGGTCCATTGGTGCAGCGGTAAGTGGGGCAAATTGTTGAGGATGAAGTGTTGTGGCTGCCAGAGGAATAGGTGAAGAAGAGAAACAGAGAAGAAACAAAGCATGCACATGCAAGTTTGAACATCATGAAATGTTTGAGTTGTTGGAGATAATAATTAATTCAGTATTAGGAAAAAAGGAAGAGGTGAGTTTCAATATATATGAAATGTTGAGGAGTTAGGAGGATGATCAGAATTTTCATAGAGCTAGGAAGGAAATTTCTTAGGAGCCAGAAAAGTGGAGCATACGTGACGCAAAAGTCACAATAGTACATCAATAGTCATACTCATATTTGTGGACATAAAAGAGGAGAATCCGTTGTACATTTTCTGTTTGTCAAAATGTTCACACTAATAACAAAGGAAGAAATGAAATATGTTACATTGACTGAGATCTACATGTACCATATATATACCAAAATTGTCCTAGATATGGTTTACTTTAGTTTAGCATTATAGTATGTATACAACTGAATTTTATGATGAATAAATTATCAAACACTGACGTTAATTTCGTGCATTTCTTTTTTTCTTCTCATTTATTATTGTTTTTCTATAGGATCCCTTCACCCGAGGAGTGATCTCTTAATCTTGTGGGATATTAAAGGGGGAAATTAATGTTTTAAAATCTGGTTTGGAGAGGTTAACTTAGGTTTCAATTATTTAGTAGGTTCTTCGAACCGAGCTGAGCATCAGATTAGCTATGCACTCGAACTTGAATCAATTTTATATTAAATTATGTAAAATATATACATTTTGCAAGCAACGAAATTCGAACTTGAGTCCCTAGGTTAAGAATTGAAAGGCTTACCACTACATCACTTTTATTTATTCAACATAATATTTATAATTTAATATTTATTATATATTATTTTAAAATTTGATTAAATTTGAAATTCAATGACCTAATACCTTGACCAAGTCTATCATCGGTCGAGTTTTAAACACCGGGCGAAAACTCTTTGTAATAGTTTATTTTCTATGTACATAAATCTCAAAATCGAATCAGGATCACATCGACACCCCTAAATATTTTTATATGTATTGTTCAAGACGGTAACTACACAAAATTTCCAAAAAACAAAAACCTTGTTATGAATATGATATAGACTTAATTAATGAAAGAAACTTGCCTTTTGAAAACGGACAAATGCCTTTTAAAGTGAGTAAATAAGGATATATCTATTTTTAATTTAATTTAAAATGTATTTCTTAATTTACTAAAATTCAAAGGTTGATATAACTTTTATTTACTAACTTCAAAGAAACTTTTACTCTCGTACAAGTACTATGTACTGACTCTTGACTTTTTTTTTTTGGTAGACTTATTGACTCTTGACTTTATTCCTCACAATATATACACACGCACATATATTAAATATTTTTATACAAAATATGAATTAATCCTTTTATATTTCAATAGTTCAAGCGTGTCAAACACATGCACCTCCCCGTCCATCATGTCTTCAGTCAGATATAGGATTTGAATAATGCTTGGTGTGTTTTATATAAGGGTTTTTGAATATTAGGAAAATATAATTACTATGGAAATGGTTGAAAAGTGAGTTTGGTAGAAAAATGTAAAAAAAAGTTGTTTGGTTGACCGAAATATTACCAGGGAAATTTATTTAAATTTTCAAAATCTATGTTCGGGAGAAATATCGGATCTGTTTTTTCACTTTTCCAGTTATCTCAAAATACCACATCTCAAGTGGTATTCTGTAACAGTGAATTTCATCCAAAAATCAACACAAAAGTCATTTTCCCATCTATCCCATCAATCCCAAAATAAATCTTCTACCAAACTCTACCTAAGAAATTTGCATTTATCATTTCACATTACACAAGAAAGTTTCCTACACACTCCCACCAACACCATCTAGGGAGGGGCATAAGTAACGTAATCCTTGGACTCGCACTCGAACTCTGGATTAGTCTCATAGGCGGCTCAAAGAGTCGAACCCGTAGAGATACCGGGAGGTTCTGATTCGCCTCAAAGAGGTAATTAGGATCAGTTTCCAAAAAAAAAAAAGTTTCCTACACACACAATATTTTTTAGGACCCACACTTTTTGAAACAAAACAAAACTTCGTTATGCAAAATAAATCTCTATAACATTACACAATCATTTTTCCTACAAGATAACTCTTATAAACGCCTTTATATAATCTCATTCCTTTTTGCGGTGGCAAAAGCAAAACGTTTGACAAAAAAGCCATAATCAGATGTTAAAAGTTATACATATGGGGTTATACAAAGAAAAAAAATGGGAGGTAATGTATATTTAAGTTTGTAGATAATATTATTCATAACGTAGGCTTGTTCTCAAATTATCTTATCTTATTTTATTTTTATTTTTTTGTGTTTCAAGAATTTACCTTTAGTTACTCCTAATTTTAACTACTAGCAGGTCCTCCAAACGAATATTTATTCCAATATTCAAACTTTGTTATAATATTTGAACTTTAGTCTTTCCTATGAAATACGATTGGTTTACCATTATATTTAACCCTTAATTATTGTTTGGTTTAAAGTTGATTACTTTCACAATTAGATTACACATTAATTAACTGCAATGTTATGAGTTTATGAAATCAAAATAAAAATTATTCGATAAGAGTTGGCAATTCGTATTTAATTTAAGCACTAAGTTGTGTATATACATTAAATTAGGGAGTGAATTACAAGCACCACGGTAGCAGTTAGTTTTAGCCTACAAGGAAGGTGATGGATGATACGTGGCATTAACAACTGTTTCAATTGGGCTTATATATATATATATATATATATATATATATATATGGAAAATGATATATTTACCACCAAAAAAGTTCACAACATTTACAACGAATCTGATCACTGTTGATTTCCGTCAATCTAACGGTTATAATTTATTGGATCATATTTATTAATTTATTATTATTTCTAATAAATAATAACTATTAGATTGACGAAAATTAACGATGATCAGGTTAGTTGTAAAAGTGTAAACTTTTTTGGTGGTAAGTATATCTTGCCCCTATATATATAGGAGAGGGTTACGTTTACAACTTCTTTTGTTTACAACTCTTATAACCTCAACTTTTTTCCTGGGAGAACATAGTTGAAGTTATAAGAGTTGTAAAAAAAAAAAAGTTGTAAACGTAACATGCCCCATATATATATATATATATATGGTAAAGGTTACTACCTCTTTTTCTTACTACTTCTTACTACTAAATATTAACCGTTGATTTCTCTCCATCTAATAAATATGACTCAATAATTAATTAATAAATATGACTCAATAAATTATAACCGTTAGATTGACGAAAATCAACGGATAAAATTTAGTAGTAAGAGATAATAAGAAGAAGAGGTAGTAAGTGTAACCTTCCCTTATATATATATACATATATACATATATATATATATATATATATATATATGTATATATATATATATATTTGAGCGGATTTCCTTTGTTGTGAGATTAAAATTAGGAAATTAATTTTCTCATTTTATATGAGAAAAATTTCTCATGCTACACACATAATATATGAGTGAGGTCCACAAAAAGGTAAGAAGATAAAAAAACCAAGATGAGACCATCTCATATATTATGAGTGTAGCATGAGAAATTTTTCTCATATAAAATGAGAAAACTATATCCCTTGAAATTATCCAATAACGATTGAAAATTAAACGCAGAATGGGGCTCCTAACACAAACCAAAACCTAAAACGTGTAAATATAACCAGATAAGAGGGTCAGATCACATCATATAAAAGTCATCATATTATAAGACATCAGTGCTGTTTCGTGAAAATTATGGTAATACATTGATAGCAACACTGGCCCAGTAAAGGCAGGTTGTTGTTTTTATTATTTTGCAGAAGAGGAGCCAGGCCCAACTTTTGCGGATCCTTGAAATGGGACTGATAATTTACTAAGCCTGCCAGAAAGACAAAAAGTTGAGCCCAATATAAGCCATGACAGGCTAGACGCAGTTTTGTTATGGGCCAAGACTTCACCGTAAGTCACTAAATTCTCCAACTGGCAACTCGTATGTACAGCTTAAAATCAAAAGTAGTAATTTTGTTGCTAATGCCACCTTGGGGCACCACCACCATCAATGACGGAACCCGAACCTGGGGGCGTTATATCACCGTCCGATTGTGACTCTGAGAAGCTGTAAGGGATGCCATTCACGAATGATGATGTGGCAAATGTTGCATTCACTGGCCACTCGCTGCACCCCATTTGTGCATTATAGATGCCACCCTCTCTAGATTTATCATCATAATATTCGTTCTCATCATATGCTGTTACCGATCCTTGATGATTATTTAATAATTGTTCCACAGTTTCACCTGTTGAGTTACATTCATACAAATTAATGTCCCTATTTGTAATTGTAAATTAATTTTGCATAGCCACATTGATTAATAGAACATATATATATATATATATATATATATATTATATACCTTGGGTTAACAAAGCAACGTTATCTTTCAAAACCTCATCAATTTCCTCCAAGTTATTCCATCTAGCATATGCTTCTCTCACCAGTTTCTCTATATAGCTCTGAAAATAATGTACCCCATTGGAAATGAATGAATTAGAGGATTAAATTAAAATCAACACCTATAGACTGTAGTAAATAAAATCTAGAAAATGAGGGGGGAAGTTTAAAGGTATACCCTGTTCATATTGGTAAGCTCTCTGCCGGCAAAGTTTTGGCCGTTGATATCAGCTCTGACCAACTGGCATATGGCGTTCAGAAAGATAGTAAAATGAGGCCCACGATAGATGTAGAGCTTGTTGCCCATGTTGCAAGTCCTTGCATGCTTCATTGTCACATCCCACATTTTGTCTGACATCCCAATGCCTAAAATCTGATTGCAAAAACCATAAAAAAAACAAACAAAAGACTATTAGTCCATATATAATAATCATTTAACAATGAATAGTTTTTTTTCGGTGACAATTTTATGTCAATACAGGGTATAGAGTAATATTGATGATATATACCTTTCTGAGCCTATGAGTATCAACAACGGATAACTTGAGAAAGTCTTGCACTGTGGTAATCCCTTCTGAGGACAATTTTTTGTGGAAAGCTCCATCTTTCCCAATCTTCTCTAGGCGCCACACTTCATCTTGGAGCATTGGTGGGTGATGTTTCTTGTACACTTCAAATGTATAAAAATAAATAAATAAATAGCAAAGAATGTAGATATTTAGTATATTATAATTATAATAATAATAATAATAACTACTTTCAGAGCCACCAAAATTTAGATGTCATGGGACAAAATAGAAGTACGGCAAAAAAAATTCATCAATACAATTATTTGAAAAGATGAGCACTAACTCCGTGCTTCACCGTGTCTGTGAAACCTTTGACTTGATATCGTCCCAAAACAAGGAAGATGCAAAACCAGAGTAGATTTGGTATCAATTGCAATAGAAAAGAAAAGTAAAAGCTAGTACGCGTCATAGTTCATTGCATCAATAAGTTGCATTGGTGGGACCATGATTGATCATCTATTCGTTGCTGAGCTAAGCTCCTAATTAGCTGTATATTTGACCACCAATCACTTCCCAATCCAAACAAAAGAAAATAAGCAAATTTAAAGATATCACTATTGCTGGCTGGCAAAGGTGTAAATGAAATACCCTATCTTGTCGGTCATATAAGATCGATGTACTTTTCCATTACTGTAAAGTGCAATATAATACAAATGAAGTCACAATCTCCTCAAATTTGTTTTTTTTTTTTAAAGTAATCTCCTTAAAATATATGGGGTATTGATTTCTCAGGCAGAATGGGGTGCATTGCATAGGGGAGAGGAAAAACACAAAATAAAATCCACTTTGATTTTGTGTCCGTAGATTTCTTTCCTTGTAACATGAAAAAACCAATATTCAATATATATATATATATATATATATATATATATATATAAAAGTTTTGGTGAAAATATATGTTCATCATTATTTTATTTTTATTTTTTTTGAATATATTAGAATCGAACACAGCACCTACTACCCACTATCTATTTCTCACCACCACATTAATCCTGATGGCTCGTGTTTTTCTATTTATAATCAGTAACTCATCACTTATGTTAGAGAGATATAAAATTATTAAAAAAACTCTCACCTAATACCTTAAATTTTTTGGATTGAATTGATTATTTATACGATTTCAGAGTTTTAATAACCATAAAATCACAAGTTCGATTCTCAGTGTTCGCCTTCACTTTCTGGTATTATTAAGTAAGTATAAGGTAAACCAAAAAATGAATATGTGAAACATAAAATAAATAAAAAAATAAATATGTGCAATATCTACTCTTCAAATCCAGAAATAAAAGTGTGTTAAAAAAATATAAAACGATGATTATTTACCAGTTAACCTATTCATATGCAAATTCCCCTACCACCCAAATTCTTTTGTCCTCCTTCTTCATCCTCAAGTTGGACTGACGAAGACAACAATAATGGGCAATGATTGTTAATATTATATATGTGTTAGACTATACTCTGCAATAGTTTTCTGACACACAACCATAGGACTAAAGAGATTGACTTTATTAAGATATTTTTCTTTCGGGAGAACCAGCTTTCTGATCAGTAGTTATCCACAGCCTTTAAATAAATTAAAAAAAGGACACTTGTTCTATGTATGTATTTGATATATAATATATTATACGTAATTCGAATTGATTGAAAAACTCACATTCACCACGGTGATCCTTGACGACAAATGGTTCAGTCATGCCTTCACAAATTCGAACACTTGGATTACTCCCCGGAGCCACCCTAACAGCAACTCTGAACTTCCTGCTACGTATCCAGCTAGAATTATCTGTGAATTCTATCTCCTCAATTGGTGCAATTCCATCCCTCATGGTCAGATTCAATTCTCCTGTGAGCAATGGCCTCTTCCCCGTTCTCTCCTTCACTATGTGGTTGTTGAATTCCTCACTCGTCCATGACTCTTTATCACCAGCAGGAAAATCCCCATCAAGAACCACAATTTCTAGCTTTATGGGATGTGGAAGACTTGTTGGAACAATTTGATCAACACTTTTGTCAACAAGAACCACATGGATTGGATTGTTATCTATGTCTAGTATCCTGCTACCCGTGAATATAGGAAGTGAAAGCTTTTTGTTGAACATGAGTTGAAAGCTTGATGGTTGCTCTAATGCTTGGATTCTCAAAGAAGGGGACCTTGTTATTGAGCGTGGACAACAATGTCTCATGACTCTATCCACCTCTTCATTCACCTGACAAATTAAATAATCATATATATATATACTTTCATGACAAAATTATTTAATCCAATAAATGAATAATAATAAATTTCAATGTTGATTTGCTTCTCGATCATAGGATCAAATTAAGGTCTAATATTATGACTTACCACTCTTCTAAGCAAAGGTTCCAAGCCAGAGAAAAGGTTCTGCAAGTTTTTCACCATAACCACCTCTCCTATTACCCTGTCAAGAAGAATTGGGGTTTGATTCATGAGAAAGTGAGACATGTTTTAAACAAAGAACAGAAAAAGTAATTATGGATAGAATGAATTCGTGTCGTTGGTGGTGTAAGCTATTTAACATACGAAGCAAAAGAAGTTCTTGGTGTTCTCATCCGTTTGTCGCTTGGCTTATCTTTGTCTTGATCAGAATCATCCAAAAACCGTTTCGCAGCCATTTTTCTGAAGAATTTGGGACCAGGGATTGAAAGACGTTGATGTAATTAGAGGTTGCACTGAGCTAAATGATGAGAGGTAGAACGAGATGATGTGTGTTTTTTATACCCCCGAAGCTATGTGAGATTGCAGAATTGGGTTACATTATAAAATATTATGATAAATCATGAACGAAGCTTCTTGGAATATCGGAGGAAATAACCAAGTAATTAGAGTATGTTGTAGCTTAGAATGCGTATCATATGATGTAAAGACTTTGACGTCAACAGCCATCCAAAGTCAACCCAAATCTTTATCAATATTATCACTCTCTCCGCCAAAAAAGATAAAGGCTAAAAGGCATTTTGGACACAAAAAATCAGACATTTAGCATGAAAGTGAAAAAATATTATCATTTAAGGTCTTTCATGTGTGTTTCGTAACGTGATCATGGAAAGAGAAATCTCTTAATTCGGATCAAGTACGGCATGCTAATTACGAGTCTAGAATTAATTTGAATATTTTCATAAGCACATATATGAAGGTTTCTTTTTATTAAATCCTGTAAAACAAAATATATATGTAAGCAGTTTCTTACTCTCTTTTTTTTTTTTTTTTTATATATAAGCAGTTTCTTACTTTGAGAGCACGTTTGAATATAAGACAACAACTTTATTTTAGTAAATTTAATATTTATCTTATCATTCTGTATTACATTATGTAATTTAGTAAATTTATTAATGTAAAGAATCAATTCAAACTAAAAGCTTAAATTAGTAGATGAGACCTTTTTAATGATTTATATTATGTTCCAATACTCTCATTGTATTGAATGATATCTCCATCTCAACTAAACACGTGGAGATCAATGCTATAACTAATCCTGATTAGTTATTAGTTATAACTATTTTCCTCTAGTTAGTTTGTTATAACCGTCTGCTTTAAGTGTATCATTTCTTTTTCTTCGTCTTGATCAGTTTTGTATATATACTGATCTTCGTGTAATTCACAAATCAATACAAACAGATTAGCTTTCAATGTTCTTCATTTTCTTTCTCTCAGTTCTTGTTGCAAGGGTTTCTTTATCAGGCCCAACTTACGGGGAGCGGTGATGATCGAACCCGTGACACTGACATTTTGGTACCATGTAAAGAATCGATTTAATCCAAAAGTTTAAGCTCTTGGGTGAGACTATATTAATAGTTTTATATATTTATAATACATTCCCTCACAAGAGAACTCATTAAACTTGAAAGGTGAATGATGCATTAGGCTCATCATATATGTGCTAAGAAATTCTACCAAAAAAATATAGAACTATGAGTATCGAACCCAAAATACCAAACTCTAATACCATATAACGTAATAAGAGATGAAAGAAAAATTAAATAAATCCATATATTACTTCTCTAACAACTATATAATTTGCTTTCTTGTTATGTTTTCTCATTTACCAATTTGGTCAAACTACATGTTTCTAGGAAGGATCGAAGGCGTGTTGGGGACTCTCTGCTACGTACGTGACCCGAGCTCACTTGTAATAACTTTTAACAGCAAAGTCTTGTGAGTTATTTTAATAGCTTAAAGTATTCTTTTCAAATTTGAAATGTTTGAACTATTAATTCGAGGTGACACATTGTATTCCAGCCATTAGAATCAGGCCACATCCTTCACAAGATCTTGTTTTTTTATGCATCGAGAATTGAATCTATCACTTATACTAACTCAAATCGTTATTTATGAATTATTTAATTAAGTTTGAGTAGTTAAACCTTTTCTTTTCATTAATATAATTAGAAAAATGAAAAGCACTATTCCTTCAAAATTAATCATATCAACATATATAGCAGAATCAACACAAGTCGCCTATTCCTACTCGGTTTATCATTATCAATGTAGGCCCCGAGGCAAATGATATGTACATATATGTGTGGCCAAAAATTTGGAAATCATAATTCATAACAACTATTATGATGTTGCAGTAAGGTTGAGTAAATATGTTTGAGACACGTTAAAGCGATGATTATTAAATGACAGGACATGTCTAGTCAATTGGCTGTTATCAATTATTATTTTTTATACATATATTAATTATCTTTTCGAGAGAAACTAATCTTAATATCTTCACAGGTTTTAATTTTTTTTAATATAATTATGAGATTAATTTTAAGTCGGATTTAATTACAGAAAAAGTTTATTATGCTTTTTCAGATATGTATCTGATTAAAATTGAATCCAAATTCTCTATACACATACTCAATCTGTATTGTTAATTGTCTAACTGACTTATACTCATTGAATTCAATTACTTTTTGAGAATTACAGATATCATGTGACAGGAAGAATCTGTATTTACCTGAAGACACATCAAAAAATCAAAAAATAAAAAAGTTTGAGGCACGGATTTCAATTTATCTATCACATGATATAATTAACTTCCTACAACATAACAATTATAAATCCTTTACTTTTTACTTCAAATAAACATGCGGACACTTTGAAGATTTATCGTGCAAAAAATTATCTCGCGACAAAAAAATACATTTACATCCCATCAATCATCCTAAAACATCAACAACAAATTAGGGATAATTGATTTGGACACATTTTTTTTTTTTTGGTAATCAGATCAATACTTTGGACCGATATTAGGAGCCACAAAACTTCACTAAAATAACAGCCCATGAGGTCAGCTCAAGGCAAGAACCCAAATTAAAATCTTAACTAATAATAAAAGACTTTTATGAATATTATGTTATAGGAAGTTTTTTTGTATCATGTTACTCTAATAAAAATGATGGTCTCATCTTATTTTATTTTTCAGTGAGACCCACATCCTTTTTATTAGAGTGACATGACACAAACTTTCTACAACATATAACATTTATAAAATCCATAATAAAATGCTTAAAATACATCTACACACAATTTTGCAGGCTATTTAGCAGCAAAGATAGATAGACTCAAGCAACATAAGTTTATCAACCTTTTCATCCGGCCAAGGATTGAACAACAAGACAAGTTTTTAGCTAAGTCTTAGCAATATAGTTCACCAAGAGACATCTTGCATAAAAGAAAGGCCACCCAAATAAGTCAATCAGAAAACATATCAATCATATCACCATACAAAGGCCATTAGTTGAGTTTACAAGCATGTCATGCCACATGCTATAAATTAAGAGACAAAGACCTAGATACAAATATTTTTTAATTATACTTAAATTCATTACTTAAATACTGACTTGAGCATCAAAATATATTACACGTGCTCACCATCTCTTATGGCATCAAATATCTAATCCCACAACATTATTACTATCCCACACAAAAATGCAAGTGATTCGATTAATATCCATTCATTACATCAAATAATACTCATTTAGATTAAGCATAACCAACATTTTTTATATATGTATATATATATATAAAAAGATTTTATAAGAGTTATGTCGTAGGAAAAGTGATTATGTAATGTTATAGAGATTCGTTTTGCGTGCCGTAATTTTTTTTCTTGAAAAAGTGTGGACTCCACAAAATGTTGTGTGTGGAAAAAAATTTATTGTGTCATGTTAAATGACAAATGCAAAAAAAAAAAAAAAAAAAAAAAGGCACTCTTCCATCAAAAGTATCATATATAACATAATCAACACAAGTCGCCGATTCCTACTCGGTTATTAACGTAGGCCCCAAAACAAATGATATCTACTATTCTCACTCGGTTATCGAAGTAGGTCCCGAGGCAAATGATATATATCTGTGGCCCAAAATATGGAAATCATAATACCACCCACACACAGTATATATTAAGATGTTGCAGTTAGGAAGTTAGGTAGCTCCTTCCCGGTTTTCATAATGGTCACTTTATTGATCTTTAAATCCACATGGCACCCGCTCAACACCAAAAGGGTTCCAAAGAGAGACTAATATATAATAATATTTGTAATTAATGTTGACCAGTAAATAAATTCCGAATCCAAATTTTGCAAATAGAGTTAACATTAACATCATAATGCGATGACAAACACGTCTTGTTTTATTCAATTAACCTTAGGGCCAGGTCAGTCAAATTCAACCATGCTTTTTGGCCAAGAGCAGAGAGACCCGCTTCGCCGAAAAAGGAGCAGGAGTTAGGCACCAAAAGATAGTTTCTACTTTCTGAGGAACTGACAAAACTAATACTAATTGTTGGTTGGTTGGCGCTGTACTAGTTTTATACCAATTATTTATATATAAAAGGAAACTGAAGTGAAACTATCACGTGGTTTCTGCGTAACGTTACATTGAGACGGGACATGGACACTTTGTTATAAATCATGGTTGAACCGAATTGAATATTATTGTACAACTTCTTGTATAATTCAGGATTTGTTGTTTTGTTCAACCCCTCAGAAAACCTTCACTTGACTATGACCTCCATTAATATATGTTTTAGATTGCCATTATTAACAGCGACTTGACAAAAAAAATAACTGCGATAACAACTCAAAACTAAGCTACATTAATAGTCCAGATTCGTTCCCATATCCTGGGGTGAGTTGCCAGGCTCCTTCCCTCATCTTCTATTTACTGAAATCTTCAAAGGTTTTAAAAAATCAAAAAAAAAAAAAAACTTTTAAGATATTAGGTGATATTTGTAAAAAAGAAAAATTATAGTGTCATTTCTTACTGATTGAAAGATATGCATCTACTGAAATAAGTAAATAATTACATAATAGACCTGATATTGCATTTTGATTCAAAATTTTAAAAGGTATTTATTTTGCCCTAATGAACTAGTTAATTGTTTTTGGATCTAAGTGCTCTCTTTAAGGTATGTATGACTTAGATATTTCATCAAACGGGTGATATGTATGCACAGTGACAGCATAACAGTAAGAGAGAAAATAATCATACATGTAGTGGATATTGAATTTTGAACCTTTTGTGCCTCTTCTAGCATCTCAAGCTCATGTTTAATGCTATCCTATTAGGATTGATATCTTTGATGGATATCCTCCTTTAATTATATCAAATTTATATTAGGATTATCTCTTGTTGTGCCTGATAGTAAATGAGCATCGTATATAAGTCCATAACAATATTAAAACCCGTTTGGATAAGGTTTTTTTTTTTTTTAAATATGTATTAATTTTTTAGAAGAATTTTTTTAAAAAAAGGATAAAATTTATTTCGCATTTGATGAAATACCTGAAAAATACTTTTAATTAAAAAATTTGCTTTAATATTAACATTAAAAAGTATATTTTATATATAAATTTAGAAGGAAAAAAAACATGTGAAAGTATATTATAAAAGCAAGATTTGGGATTGGGTAATAATAATAATAATAATGGAAAGATTCGGTGGTGGTGGAGATGGTGGCAAGGTGGTGAAAGGTTTATTTGTATAGTTAATATTGTTGCATTCGATTTGACTGTATTATATTGTGTCAACCCAAATTGCTAGCTCTACCCACCATTGTCATTTTTTAGTGTTAGTTTTTATTAAGATGATATAACTTTAAAAATGGATCGATCCAAATATGAATTTCTCATATTGTGTATGTGAGTGTTCCTCGTGGAGCTAGAGCAAATATGAATTTACAATAAATATTTGATTTTTTCAACCCAAATATGAATTTCTCATGTTGTGTATGGTGAGTGTTCCTCGTGGAGCTAGAGCAAATATGAATTTACAATAAATATTTAATTTTTAACTTTCATTTTTTTTTAAAGCCAGAAATTTTAACTTAAAACAAAATAATATTTTGGTTTTTCTTTTTCTCAACTTACGCTTTTCTTTAATAGCTGACAATCAAATACTTATTTAAAGTGAATTTTTATTTTAAAAAATTCCAATCAGGCTCTAAATTTATGTGGTTTTTAATAGATGGGGAGGTTATGTTTACAACTCTTACAAATTACATTAAGTCATCCTACTTCAATTCAATCAATCAAGAGTCTATGATCAATCATACTTAGTGTAATTTATAATAAAAAATTATAAACGGGTCATTCCCCTTTAGTATATATAATTATTAGAAAAAGTGTTTATCCTTTTAAATGACACAATTTGTGTCATTTTACTCTCACAAAGAGGTAGGATCCATACCTTTATTTTTTTATCAACTCTCTCTTTATCTATCTTTTTCTCTCTCTTAAAATGAGACAATTTTACATCTTTGAAATAATACACACTTTTTCCATAATTCTTATTTCACGTATTATTTTCTAATGTGAAACGTTTTCACTCACATACAGCTTATAGTTAAATTTCCAAAAAATAGTAAGATTATATTCATGAATTGTCAAAGTCGCTCTCCAAAGCCGTTATAGGAGCTAGAATGAGTTTTTTGTTTATACTGGCACTAAGGTTTGAACCTTGAATGAGTTACTTTCATTATGTAGTTTCCGTTTGACAATAAATTTTATGCCAGGGGAGTTAAAACTTCAATTCATGCAATCACACGTTTCAAAGAAGAATGCTTATGAAAGAAAGGAAGGAATCAAAGGGTGGCATAGTCCCATTTCTGAAAAGCCCAAAATAATAATAATAATAATAATAATTGGAAGTGACCAATCATAGGCTGTGAAGTGTGAACCACTATCATCAAACTCCGCCAATACGAATGAAACGAGAAAATCAAGGCAACCCAAGAGAAAACGTGTTACGTATCGTTGTATACTCTTTTTATAAGTCAAATTACCATATATATTTACTCTTCTTATAAAAACTTATAACAAAATGTATTGTTTATAGTATACATGAATGAATGATTATGTTTAAATAATTCCCTGGTACTGATCAATCTAAACCCTGATCTGTATAAAAAATCAAAGATAATAAAAAAAAAAGGAAGTAATGAGAAACACAAATCAATTGAAGTGCATTATCAGTGGAGCGAACCTCAGGAGTCTATCTAAAGCCTGAGGCATGAACTTTCTGGCAAACAAATGACAAATTTTAGTGGTCTTCCCATTGTACTGACATCTGCTTCCATGCCTTAGCCTCTTCAAGAATTCAATAGTTACATCTGTTCTCATAAACCTTGATGGATGGGGTCCACCCCTTGACCAATCAACCCATGTCAAAGTTCTGTTTGAGTTCCTCTCCCAAAATTTGATACTAACCAATGTGGGCAAGTAGTGTTCATCACCATAACATCCATTCCTACAGTGCTTTTTAAACACTGGGAAGTATTGTTTGTCAGAGACTATTTCAATGGCAAGGTCACGGTCTATCTGAAACCATTGGGACCCTTTCCTCCATTGAGAAAGCCTAACAAGTGGCTTCATTCTTGGGCTGTACCTTCCTCTCCCCACTGCACCAGGAAAATCATAGGCTTCCACAAAGGTCTTGTTTGTGTTCATAAGGTAATTATAGATTGTTGAGAAATTGAACAAAGGAATGCATGACTCTGAGAGCAGAACAAAACGTTGGTTTGAGAAGTCAAGAAGTGCATTTGCTATTAGACGTCTCTCTGCCTCTATCATGTTGAAGTCACCCCACCTCACCTCCTGCATCAATCATCATCATGTAAGGGAAAATCAAATTATCTGAAATAATGTATAAAGTGGGTCTATTGGAAAGTGCTTTTTCTTGGGCTTTGAATTATTGGCAATGTGTTCATAACCAATAATGTACTATTATGCTCAGTTATAGGCCCAATCCTAAAGTTGGGCCATTTGGGATACATGGCATGAGGACTTAGCAATTTAACATGCTTCCAATACAAGGGAATTTTTCAAAATTAATATATGATTAAAAATACAATAAAAAGGCAAGAAGTTTTATATGTTGCTTGTTCATGTTATCTGTTGCATGTGAGAGTCAAAGCATGAAGAAAGGAATTATGAAAAGATTTGATGAGGATGTATAAAAGTTTGCAAATGGAGAGAAGAATAGAATTTCTTGGAGGTGCAAAAGGAGTGGAATGAAAGAAATGGACACTTTGCTTTAACAGCTCAGCTAAGGAAGTAACCAACAAGAATAAGGAAAAAAAATTGGGCTTTGCATATATTCAGTGAATCTAGTAGTTACAGATTTTTCACCTCCATCCACGGTATATTAGTCATGATAGACTTTATATTTTTGAAAAATGGAAAATCTCACTTTAAGTGGGGAGATAAATTCAAAACCCTTTTCCCAAAAAGGACAAGTGGACTATCAGTTAACCAATAACCACAAAGAAACAGGGAATTGTTGCTTTTATTTAAGAAAATCTTGCTGTTCATTTAACAAATATCTGCACTAGTAAAAACCTGAATTTTCTCAAATGAATAGATGACTTCCAAGGCCGTTATTTAAAAGTAGTGGAAGTGGTATCTGATTATTTTAAATCTCTCATCAAAGCCTAGTTTTACAAGCAATCTTCAAGTGCTGACCCTGAATATGACCCCATTAATTACTAGGTTGTTTAAGTTGCATAAAAACTCATAATAAGGTGTTCATCTCTAATTGGAAGAAACTATATATCACATTATATAAAAGAATGGCTGTTAAGGTTCGTGCAGACAGGTGTTGCCCAAGTTGGCAGTTTTTCTTTTTCTAAAAAAAAAACGTAGTAGGAAGTAACATATTTTATCATAGAATAATATGCTTGATTAGATTTCTAAAAATCCTTAAGTTGAAGAGAAAGAAGCAAGTGTTTATTCAACATTTAGATGTTGAAACTTAATAAAAGAATGTCAAAACATAATATTGAATCCTAGATCCATGAAGATAAAAAACGTGCTTGTGAAAACTAAAAAGAAATTATTATTACTCTCTCTATATATATAGATATGTAGTGGTGTGGCATTGTCTATGTGCACTAAAACCTGAAGTAACCCACCCTGCCCCCTTAAAGAAAAATAGCTAAATAGTATTGAACACTTGCAGATAAAAACCATTAAATAAGGCGTGGATTGAGGCACTTAAACCGCAATGCATGTATTATGCAGTGATCTACGAACAAACCATTAGAGGGTGAGGGAATGATAATTCTGTTTTTTATTTTTTATATTTTTCCTTAAAAAAATAAAAATAAAATCTCAGATGGATTTGCTGATCACATGGAAAATACTGGAATTACGGTTATAAATCTTAATGAAATGAAAAGATTAAGGAAGTAGCACATACTGACCTTGCTTGGGATTCTGCGACCATGAAACACAGAACTTTGAGGCACTGTTTTGTTGAAAGAAGGATTGGAATGGACGTAGATAGAATACAACCCTTCATTTCCTCTGAAGAATTTCTCCCACAGAGGAGCCAAAAACAAAGGTCCTTTTGTCAAAAACATAAATGCAACCTTTGGGGTCTGTTTGAATGGGAGTTCCTTAATCCTAGGAACCATAGAAGCTCTCCACAGCAATTCTTCCTCTGTCATATCATGCATAGCCTTGGTTGGTTCCAAGAAACCCTTTAACCCATTTGGGGTGAAGGTGGTGACTTTTGTCTGATTATTTGATATTGCAATGGAGTTTGAGATGGGTGCAGCAGTAGAAGAAGAAGGAGGAGGAGGAGAGAAAGATGGCAGGGTTTGAAAGAGAACTTGCTTGATTTGAAAGTTGAGGGACAAGTCTTTGAGACAGAAATTGAGGGTGATTCCAATGAGCAAACCAGAGCCAAAGACTAGAACATGAGAGAAGAAGTTGAGTAGATGGTGTTGAGCACTGAATAGCCTTGGATATGATGAGCTTTTATTCATGGTGATGATGACAAACAAGAAGATTACAAGTATAGGTGCTGCACAGGCACACACAAAAGTGGATTTATAAAGGATGTTGGTTGGAACTAAAAAGACGCATAAATTTATTAAAAGAAAAAAAAAAAGTACCTATGTTCTGTATAATTCCAAGTTAAGAAGAAAGAAAATAGTTAAAATGGTCAGACAATTGCATTTTTACAAGTTATTGGTTATAAAATGTACCTAGAGAATATATAAAGTAAAAAACTAATTCAATGCTGCTTTTCCTTTTTCTCAAAAAAAAAAAAAAAAACGTTATGAAGGTGCATTAAATCAGCGCGTTAAAAAGAATTCAGTTTCGTGATTAAATCTGCAGTTAGAATTTAATTAATGTTTTAGAATTTAACCGACGAACAATTAGACTGTGAGTATTGAAAAAAGGTGTAAACGACTCGGGCCAAGCCAAGCTTTAGTTCAAACAGGTCATACTCATGTAAATTACTTTAAGGTCTCGTTTGGTAAAATGACAAGTATGAGATTGATAAAGATAGGATATGATATGGGGCTGATAAGCCTATATCATGTCCTCTGTTTGATGAGCACCTGCTGATTAACCATCTGATAAGATTATGTATAAGGAGAAAGGAGAAAGAAAATATAATGAATAAATACAAATATATTGAGTAGCATGGAGATATATTGGGTATCCAATATTGGTATACTATCATGTTGAATCATAACCCAGCTCCCCCATAAGATAAGAAATTATGTATTGCATAGGATACAATGAGATAATAGGATAAGCTAATCATATCCTATTGACCCACCAAACAAGAGATAAAAGTAGGATATGATAAGTTATCATATCATATCTTCTTTATCAGGTGCTCCAAACAGGCCTAAGAATCTAATATAATCCAAATTTGTTTTTAGAAAATATAAGGTTTGATCTGACCTATCAAACCTTTAAAAATAATATATTGCACTCTGTAAATTATAACATTATATGTTATAATTATTTTGTATAATATTTGAACACAACCCAAAATATTGACAATTTGATGTTAAAAATAAAAAACAATCAATTCATTTGAATTATATTGTTTTTTAATTATAAAATTAAAATTTTATTTAATTAAAAATTTATATATATATATATATATATATATATATAATTTGAACTAATTAAAAAAAATTCCAAAAAAAAAACACATAAACACATGTCTAACATACAATAATATAATAGGTAGATGCATAGAATAGCGATAAGTCAAATAATATATTGTTTTTTTAATAGAAATTTTAAGAGACAATTTTGTTAATGAAACAAAAAAAAAAGCAAAAAATACAAAGAATAAGGAAAGTCTTGAGAGTCGACAGTGAGCCATGGATGATTTCGAATATATAAGAAGTTGAGAATGAGGCACAAGAGTAGAAAATTTTGGCGGAGTAATTTAGGGTTAAGAAAAAATGTATTTATCAAATGAGAAAACAAAATATTGTGAAAAATTAAAAAATCTTAAGATTTTGTTTTAGGGAAAAATGTTTCTGCAGTTAATGCAGATAAGTTATCTGCATTTATTTTCAAAACGACGTCATTTTGATATTAAAATTTTAAAAAATTATAAATATAAATACTATTATAACCATGAAATAAACTTACTGAAGATAACTTATCTGCAGTAACTGCAGAAAAAGCGAACCCTTTGTTTTATTTCAAAATAACAAGATATTAGTTTATTGAAAAATAATAAGATATTATTTTATTAAAAAGTAATAAGATGTTATTTTATTTTTATAAAATATTATTAATTAGAAGACAAGCCCACTAAAACAAATTTGTGGCCTGATCTTTAAACAAATCTTTTAATAAACTCAAATATACTATTTCTAAAATGGGGATTGATTTTCTCATGTTAAATGAGAATTCAATTCTCATGTTGTAGAGATAAAAAGCATGTGGGACTCATGTGTTAAAAAAAATTATATGTAGGATCCATGTCAGCACGGAAATCAAAGGGTGTGTAGGAAAATTTGAATTCTCATGTTAAATGAGAATTAGGCTGCGCATGACAACCATTCTGATTCCTGACACTGTTTCTGAAAAGAAACGATTCTTTTCTATTTATGTGCCTTGGAACAATTCTGAGAATCAGAATTACGTTTGATAACACATTTTATTTTTATTCCGAGAATCAGAATTACGTTTGATAACACAATAAAAATCTATTTCTTTACTTTTGTTTATAGATTTCATCAGCTGTATAAAATAGCAAATGACGATAGATTGTAACCGAAATGCCAAATTTTATATTTAACAAAATTATCTAAAAATTTATAATATTTTATTATATAGTTTTTTTTTACGACAAATGCTAATATATAGTTTTAACTATTATTTCTCAATCATCTTCACAATTCATATTTTTTTGTTTCTCATTCCCTTGACCATTTTTTTTTTGTTTCTCAATCATTTTATTTTTCAATTCTCATGTTGTAGAGATAAAAAGCATGTGGGACCCATGTGTTAGAAAAAATTATATGTAGGATCCATGTCAGCACGGAAATCGAAGGGTGTGTAGGAAAATTTGAATTCTCATGTTAAATGAGAATTAGGCTGCGCATGACAACCATTCTGATTCCTGACACTGTTTCTGAAAAGAAATGATTCTTTTCTATTTGTGTGCCTTGGAACAATTCTGAGAATCAGAATTACGTTTGATAACATATTTTATTTTTATTCCGAGAATCAGAATTACGTTTGATAACACATTTTATTTTTATTCCGAGAATCAGAATTACGTTTGATAACACAATAAAAATCTATTTCTTTACTTTTGTTTATAGATTTCATCAGCTGTATAAAATAGCAAATGACGATAGATTGTAACCGAAATGCAAAATTTTATATTTAACAAAATTATCTAAAAATTTATAATATTTTATTATATAGTTTTTTTTTTACGAAAAATGCTAATATATAGTTTTAACTATTATTTTTCAATCATCTTCACAATTCATATTTTTTTATTTCTCATTCCCTTGACCATTTTATTTTTTAATATCATATTATTACCTTAATATTAATGATACAAATGAATAAATAAATACATATACATAAGTCACATCACTCAACTAAATATTCATGACATCATACTTAAAGCAAAAAATAATTGATGTTGCATTGAACAAAAAAATGACAAGTCTCCAATGTATTTCGAATATGTCTCTTGATTCATCAATATCATATTGGGGGCAATTGATTATCTATAGCTAATTGGTTTGCAATATTTTTCTTAATAATGTCTATTTGGGTCACTTGATTTGAGGAGCCTTCATCATCTATAGTTGCATATGTATGGGTTGATGCTACAATGTTGGGATTTGCATAATGTGCTAGATTTTTGTCTGCTATCTGATGATCCCTGATGTTATGTACTGCACAACATGCAATCACAATGAGAGCTTGCTTCCAAAATGAAAATGAAGGCATTTTACGCAAAATTGGGAACCTATTCTTCAAAGCTCCAAATGACCGTTCGATTACATTTCTCAAAGAAGAGTGCCTATGGTTGAACAACTCCTTAGTTGATCTGGGTTGATTTCGTCTTCCTCTATAGTCATTCAAATGGTAGCGCTCTCCTTTGAATGGTGTGAAATAATCATCCCTTGTTGGGTATCTAGAATCAACGACATAAAATTTGCCTACATGTTGACAAGAATTTACCAATATATAAATTGCAATAATGAGGATAATCAAATGTGAAACTAAAGAAAAATGTCATTCACATTGCTGTATAAACTAATCATACCTGGTGGGGGATGAGGGAATTCCAACCTAGGAGTTTCAAGCGCAGTACTAAAAATACGACAATCATTTGCTGATCCTTCCCATCCAGCATACACAAAAGTGAACTTCATATCAAAGGAACATGCACACATGACATTTTGGGTTGTAATTTGTTTCCTGCCTCTAAATGGTATTTGCTTATTCTCAGGTAACGTAGCACTTACGTGAGTGCCATCAATTGCGCCAATACAATCCTAATATTTAAAATCAAATATTAAAATGGAAAATAAATAAAATTCTGAAAATAAAAAATACTTGAATCCTTAAAAAAAAACTTACCTTGAAGTATGGGAAATGTTTAGGATTGTCCTTAATTTCCTTTGGAACCATATCAAAAGGAGGTGGTTTGATTATCTCACGTGCTAATTGAAGCATCTCATTCAACACTTTGCTGAAATACTTGCTAATTGTTTGCCCTGAACGCTGAAATCTCTCACAAACATTCCTATTTGAACTCTCGTGTCCAATCAAGTACAAAAAAATTCCTAACTGTTCATCAAACCTAATATATCTACTGTTTGCTAACCAGCCTTTTTGTGCCATCAACATACAAAGTTTGTTGAACACAAATCTTTCCATTCTAAATGCCTCATGTATTCTATCTGAGTGGCCAGATCTAAGTTCCGCAACCCATTCAGCACCTGTCAGGCTACTATCTCTAATGGGTTCTTTGTATGTATTGAATTATTAATAATAATATTCAACAAGTTTGATATAACAAGATCTTCATCTATTGATTCGTCGTCAGTATGAGGTTCAAAATATTGCCCACAAGTCAGACAAATAGGAGCATCAGCCATGACAATACTGCATCAATAGATATTGTCATCATTAATTTCATGCTAACATATTTCAAAAAAAAAAAATCACATTAACAAAAAAAAAAAAATCATACATCATAGTCATACGAGAAATGAAAATTTAAAAAGTATCCTCATCATAGTCATACAAAAAATTAAAATTAAAAAAATATCCACAACATAGTCATATGAAAAAAGAATTAAAATATGGTCTTCAACACCATTAAACAAGACAAAATTTAAAAGTTGCAACACAATTTCATTCATTTAAAAATTTATAGGAGTGAAGCTTTCCTCTCAGGTGGAGCCTTTATAAATGCTACTCTCCATGCTTTGCTTTCAACCACTCGATTAACTGCTTTGCGGCACAC